TGATGTCTAGTGAAGAAGACAAATTTAGAGTACCACAGTCAAAAGGATTAATAGCTTTTAAGATTAATCCATGTCTTCTAAATATAAGAAATAAACGGGGTTTAATAAATTGTTCTCACTGTTCCTTTGTCTTTGCCCGTGTTATTCACCATTTTTGTAGGCACCATGACAGAGAAATCAAATTCTAGAGAATTTGATAACTGGAGTGATGCAATAGAAAGCATTGTGGCAACTCTGCGACAAAGAGAAAAACTGTATCCCATCATCACTACCAAAGAAAAGAGGATAAGGTATCATGAGCAGAGGTGAGAGCAGATAAGAGGCAAAGTCATACAAATCATGGAATGCAAAACCAATGATCTTTAAAGCTGCAAAGGCATTTAAGGAAGAATTAAATATTATGGGGCAAGAAAGGTTTTATTAGTAGCTATACTTTTCTTGAACTGCTTGAGATACCTGTTGGACATTGGGAAAGCAACAAATGTATCAGGAAAAACCATTACAGGGCTGGATAGACAGGGTAGAGCTATATAAAAGCTGAAAAGTGACCACCTTCGTGAATGAAATATGGATGAGGCAGAAGTTTACTTAGGATGACACAAGCCCTTTAGATGTTGCCAAAAAGTGATTAGTACTTGTCTCATCTCTTACCTGATTTTCTTTTCTTTACTCAGCCACTCCTTAGTGTGCTAAATCAGCACTTTAGCACCAAAGCTTCTGAATAACCACTAAGAACTGCTGCTTTCCCACATACTAACTCCATGTCGTAAGACCTGGCAAACATCCAGATTAGAAAAAAAAAACAAAACAGAAGGAAGAATTTTACTAAACAATTAGAAAATCTGGTGAAATCTCTCTACTATATCCTGTGGCCAGCACAGTAAATAAGGTTGGTGAAAATGTGACTGAGGAGATGGAAAAAATTATGTGAATTGCACTATGAAAATACTTGTGCATGCACACACTCCCCCCACGTCCCCTCACTCCCTTCACCTAGGGCAGCACTCACCATTTATGGGAAGATTAGAAGTCAGGATGGTGAGTCTGTGTGAGATGAGCAGGAACTTCACATGAAAGGTTAATTTTGAAGCACAGTTGTCCCACCCACCCTCTCACCCATCATGAATGATGCATTTACCACTGCCAGAGGCATTTCTTCAGCATACAAAAAAAAAAGCACTTTCAGCCTAGCAGTTTCAGACTGAACTCTGAAAATCAGCTCTGTTCTGCCTATCTCATGTACTGTCACCAACGATAAACATTAGAACTGAGAAATTTCTGTGGATAAAGGAACTAGAAAAAGGGTTGGATTCCTCTCCTCCAGCATTATTTCTGCAGAGCTTATAAAGTAGAGAGAAACAAAATATAATTTTGCCAACAGACTTCAGACATGAATTTGAGTATATGCATACCTCAAATTTGTTGAATAAAAAGCTGTGTATGGTCATCTTTCTAAACAGAATGACACCTAAAAAATAAATGTGAATTTTATAATCACTTTGTTTGTGTGTGTGTGTGTAGCGACTGTGAAAAACACAGTTTACTTCAACAGTCATAACCTCTAATGATTTTTGATGCATGAACTGGACAAAAAGATACAGCCAAGAGTAATTTTTCAGAACAATAAGGTGGGGAGGCAATCCCATCTTAAACTGATTCTGTCTTTAATTTTCACTGGTTGATAAAAGTGTGACAAGCTTGGCTAGTTAGCTGCAAGAATTAATAAATAAGAAGAAAGGTAAGATGGCAGCTCTGTTGAACTAGAGGAGAGTGGTAGCTACAGAGTGGTGTCCCTCACCTGCTTGTTCCACATTTGTTTTCTGACATTAAAAAGTGAGGGATCTTAGTTCCAGTTCCTGATTCTGAAAAAGCTCCTGCAGAAATCACAACCTTTTCTGCCTGGTTCTCCTATGTTCCCAAAATTATCTCTTCCACTTTGCCGCTTCTTTCCTGACTACTTTTCTTGTTTCCTTCTGTGAATAAAGCATCTTCTTCTTGAATTGAAGACAGTCACACTTCTTCCCTTCAGCTCTGTCTCCCACATCAAACACATTGACTGCAAAAGGAAAGCCTGCTAAAAATCCATTGTCTAGACATAGAAACTAAGATACAATCCAGTGGCCAGTTTAATAAGGGTTATAAATGATGAAAAGCAACTGAGAATAGAGATTTATGATAGGATGTTTCAGACAATGTATGCTGGATGATTTTAATGGTTAAAAATATAAACAAGGTCCAAAAGTGTATTCCTCTTTCAAGGAGAATTGGATGCTTTAGGTAGTGAGCAGACAAATTTTTTTGCATGAATTTGCACAAATTAGCTGTAATAAACATCTAAAATGTGACATTATTCCCAGAGCTTGCTTCTGCTTTTAATTAGTCTATCACTATCAGAAATAATTAAATAGGATCTTGGTGATTGGGAACAAACTAGAAGGTTTTCAAGTTTTATGCATATCCAGTTAAAAAGTAAAATAAAACTGATCTTTGGAATTATTTCTATTTTTGCCAAGAAGTTAATATGTATCAGAAACAGAACAGAAATATCCTTAACATCCATTTCATCTGTCTAGTTCATATAAAATCCTAAACTTGATTGAGACAAGAGATACATTCCACATCATATTTTTTCCTGCAATGAAAAGAAACTTTTGAACTTTGTAACTGGATGAGAGCTTCAAATAATCTAGTTGGACTCCAGTGGTATCTTAGGGCATTGAGGTCCATCCACCAACCTTCAATCAGTTACTGAGTTCCTCAAGCTGAGTTGACTAGACACAGTCTGTTGGTAGAGACTTAAAATGTATTTATATTATTTCAAATATAATTGTATAAGCTGTTTGAAATATACAATTTTGTTAATTTTAATTACACTTCTACAGTGTCAAGTAATGTTTCTGGACTTCATAAGTCATCTTAATAGCCTTTATTTACAGAGTGTGTTGCAAGCCATAAAGAACTTTGTTTGAGGTACATATATCTGACAGATTAATCACTCTTTTGTCCTACAAATTGACTTGCAAATTTGGAATAAAATTGACCTGGAATGCACCTTAAATTCTCAGAAGTCGTGTGCTATATTTTCCCAGCACATTGCAAATTAAAATGAGAAGAGCACTTGTGTTTGCCTTAGGCACACTGAATGTCAACAAGTGCTGTCGACTGATGAATCTCAGAATTTAATTCTTTAAAGGGCAGGAGGAAGCAGTTTTAATTCACTTCTCCACAAACACCTGGTTTAAAGATTTATTCAAATATGTAATGTTCTTTTACGACCAAATCGAGATCACTTTTGCTCTGCTGGAGCAATTTTGATGGTTAATTACATCATTATCCAGATATAGCTTCCCTGTAAGGCTCAGGTTTGCTAATTCCTTTTGCTTAACATGCTTTTATTCCTGGGAAAGACTGGAGATCTAAAGGAGCTGTAAATCATAAAAGAATTTGTAGAGGTTTATTGCACAGATCATAAAGGGAAAGAAACATGGTTATTGAACTAACAAACACAAATTCCTAACATAAATTACTTTAAAAAATACATTGGTCCTTGTTGAGGAACTTTACCAAACTAATTTGTTAGATAAAGAAAATGTATTTGATTTACATGAGCATACTAGGCTTAAGCATCAAACAGAAGGATTCACTTTTTATGATAACTGAGACATCATTTTTTCTCATTACAATATATTACTTTTAAACAGAGTCTTTTACCCTAAGTATCAAAAAATGTATGTTGCAGACTTTACATAACAACATAGAAGACAGCAAATATATTCCCAATTAGCAAAGAAAGAACATTCTGTAATTGTGACAAAATGGGAAATTCACCAGGATGTTTGGTCTCTGCCCTGGTCTCACGAGACTACATCTTTAAACACAAATCCTCAAGACTGCTGTTTTGACACATCTTGGCGCCAGCAGAGATAACACACTGCCCTCTTTGAGCACACTGATTCCTTGTGTCAGACCTTAAGTAGGTCAAGTCAAGGAATGGTTGCTATTTTGAACAGCAGATCAGAGAGGAGAAACTTCATGACAGAGTCCCTGAAAGGGATCTGAGAGGATGCAGTTGAGCAGATGTCATTCAGCAAAGGCTCCCACAGCCGGGATGGGACACCATCAGCCAGTTCTCCCAGGAGCTTGCACAGACCCAACAGCTTCACAGCGGGCAGTCCTTTCTACAGGGTTCACATGCTGACATTTTCTGTTTCAACATAGTTACAATGAGTAATTTCCTACGCATGTGTCTGCCTTGTCTTTGTGTCTGCTATGTAAAATTGAAAAGATAAGCAAGCCCAATCATCTGTTTTCTTGAGAATCATGTCATTATGAGGTTTCTTCCTTAACAAAATATTAAAATAGCAATCAACAGAATTAGGCTTTCTGACACAATTATGTTTAAAACCTTTTATTGAAAACACAGACAAACAGAACTGTAGATATATATCTATATATACCTCATAGGCTAGATGATGTGGAGCAGCACTGCACCTTCTACAGACTAAGCCTATATCTTGGCTTTTCCAGACAACTATTTCCACAATTGCTGGTAGGTAGGGATGTGTAATTGTTGCTGTCCTGCATAAGACAGCACAGTCCTGCAGCATTTTTAATCACAGCGGAAAAATAAACTTGTTACAACACGACCTCAATTTAGAAGACTTAGGTTACCTCATAAGAATAACTAGGCATAGAAATATTTTTCGTATTACTGTGTGAAAAGAACCTATAGATGAAACTAGATTGTTAGGTAATTCTTTTGTCATGTGGAGAAGTTTTGAAGCTGTGTTTGCCTTGCACACCTATCCTAAGTGAAAACACAGCATTGAAATCCCTGAACTGAGAAGTCTTAAAAATGGGGGATGCCTGATTACAGATGGTCCCCCCTTTTTTTAATGAAAAAAGAAGACTTTTAAGGGAAGGACACCGCTATTTTGAGTCATTCTACCCTACTAAAATTTACCAATTTAAGAGAAAGGCTCCTCAGTTTTTTTCTATCCTTTTTTTAATTAACTTCAAGCGTGTTTGAAAAATTTCCAGTACAAGTCATGATTTCTGTTAGGAAACTGACTGACTTTAGCCAAGCTGCGAGTCTGTACTTTGTTCCAATCTGAAAGTTCATGCCTGGATGTAAGAGGCACAGTTATAAAGTCATGAGACTCTTGGAAATCTCAATCAGAATGGTTCACCTGATGATTTTTGTCTAGACACAGTTAGTAAGTTTTGACTGATTAAAATTAGATCCACTGTAATAAATTAGTAAAACTTGTAATAAACTAAGCCTAAAAAAACTACTGTGCAGACTTTGTTTCCGTAAACTGCGATGGAGAGGTTGTGAGAGACTCCATCCCTGGGGATGACACCAAGAGCCGTGGGCTGCCATGTGCTCTAATCCCACTCGCCGGCTTCCAGCTCTAAGAGACACGCAGGCAATGAGGATCACAGGAACTTTAGCAAACACTGGCAGCTCCCTGACATCTCTGAACACCTCACAGATGTGGATTTTTTCCCTTTCTGAGCTGGGAAAAGAAACAAAACAAAAAAATCTCCAAATATCATAGGTTTCTATCTCAACTGCCCACTTGAAGACTTTACTTCACACCCAGCCTCTGTTTTCTGTCGCTCATACAGAGCTTGGCTCTCCCCAGCACTGCCCTGCTCAGAGTTCTGCTGGTGACAGAGCCATGTTGCAACATCTCTCCAAAGACCAGACATGGTGCTTCTTGCCATGACATGGTGACATAGTTGACATGGCAGAGTGGTTGGTCGGAGCTTGGACTCAGTAATCTCAGAGGTCTTTTCCAACCTAATTGATTTTGTGATTCAGTAATTCTGTGCGGCTGCTCTATGTGGAGGGAACCGGTGCGGCGCCAGGTTGCCCAGGGAAGTGGTGGAATCACCATCCCTGGAGGTGTTTAAGAAGCGCCTGGGTCTGGCGCCGGGTGATGTGGTTCAGTGGTTAGTGGTTAGTGGGTGGACGGCTGGACTGGACGATCTTAAAGGCCTCTTCCAACCTTGATGGTTCTACAATTCTGTGATTCTCTAATTCTATGGTTCTATAACGCTATAATTCCACGGTTCTACGATTCCAGCTGCAGCCGCACACAGAAACCGGCCGCGGGCGGCACCGCCGCAGCCCCCGCCCGCCTGAGGGAGCCCCGCCCCTGTCGCCCGCCCCCGGCGGCCCCGCGGGCAGCGCCCCCGCCAGCCCGGGGACAGCGCCGCGCCTGCGCACAAGGCGGGGCGGGCGCTGCGGAGGGTGACGTCACCTTGGCACACACCCCCGGCGGGGCGGGGCGGGAACCGCGGCCGCACCGCCATGGCCGGGGCCATGTTGGGGAGGAAGTGAGCGCGGGAGGCGGCGGCGGCGGCCAGGAAGGAGCCCTTCCCTTTTCCCTCCTGCCGGGGCGGGCGCGGGCTTCCCGGCCACGGCGGCTTGCGAGACCCCCCCGGCGCGGCGGTGCGGCTGCAAGCAGCGGGCGGCGGCGGAGCTGAGCGCCCCGGAGGCGGCGGTGGCCTAAGATGGCGGACCCGGCGGAGTGTAACATCAAAGTGATGTGTCGCTTCAGGCCCCTCAACGAGTCCGAAGTGGCCCGCGGCGACAAGTACATCGCCAAGTTCCAGGGCGAGGATACCGTCGTCATTGCGGTGAGGGGCCGGCCCGGACTGGAGCGGCGGGAGGCGCCGCGGGCGAGAGAGGGAGGGAGAGAGGGAGGGGGTGTCAGGGGTCGGCGGGGTCAGACGGCGCGGGGATGGGCGCGGTGCGAGGCGGGAGGGCCCCCGGGCCGGGACGCCTCGGGAAGGGGGACGGGCTTTTCGGGGTCTGTGGGGGAAGGGGAGGAGGGCAGGCAGAGCTGCGGGCGGGATGGGCTGGTCGGGATGTGGGCACGGCCGGGCGAGGCGCGGCGCGGGCTGAGGGCCGTGGGGCTGCCGGGACACGGAGGGTGGGGCGGGGCGGGAGACCTTTGACAAAGGCTCCGGCGAGACGCCGAGGGACGAGGTGCGGAGTGAAGGCGGGTCCCGCGGTGAGTCCGCCAGCCGGGCTGTCCGGGGATATGTGACCGCTAAATCCCGCTCCAAATGCACGCGTGGGAGCTGCCGACGGGTAATGGTCTGCGGAGAGTTTTGGGGAAGAAATGCAGCACAACAGTGCAGGCTCCAGCGCATTGGTGCTTGCGATCTGTACATCAGCCGTCAGCTAACAACTTCTTGTTGTTGCTGTTAAATCAGAATAAACAGACTATTTGCTTTACTGCAGGGTTGTAAATGTGTTTTAACTGAAGTCTCCTTGCAAGGTACGAGACCTGTTATAAAACAATCTGAATGTTGCAGGGAAAAAGATAATCCTCTGCTTTTTGTTCACTGGGTCATATTTAGCTACGAAGTGGAACTGGAGTATAAAAATAAAGTACAGTAGTTTATTGTCTCGTTTGGTTGGTGTTGTATAAACACACATTACTCCTAATGCTTGTTTTATTTTTGTTAACTTTTTTGTTTTCATGTAAATATTTTTTTTGAGACACAGTACTGGTTCTGCATTGCTGAAAGTAATTTAAATGCCAGTTATCTGTCTTCAAATTTTGGTGTTTTTTTCTGTTTTTTTGAGGCTATCAATAATAACTTTTTTGCAAACTATCTGAAATTGCAGGAGATGATCTAATAAAATACTTTTTTTCTGTATGAGTTAGTAAATACTAGTACTTTAGGCTGTTAATATTCAGATGAATTTGTCAATAAAATATGGAATTCCTTGAGTCTGGAGCAACAAGAACGATAGCATGCTTTTGAAATGAGGTAATTTGGGCTTATTTCAGCTGGCAAGTTACTATCTTGGAGTATATCTCTTCTTCCTTAGGTTGTACAGGTAAACTCAGAGTAAGAAACGAATCCTGGAAAATGGAAAATTTAACTAGAACAAATGATCTCATTCTATGAGTGAATGCCCATTCATTGTGACACTGCATAATCTGTTTAAAACCCACGGTTTGGTTTAGAAACCTTGATGTTTTCTAACTTAAAAAAGAAATTTTCCACGTTTTTCTCTCATTAGTCCTAGTAGGAATAAAAGCTTATATTTTTTAATTACTCTTTAAGTATGCTTTAAAGTTATCTGAAATGTAAATTATGCCGAGGTGGTACCATGTCTGAGCAGAACAGTCAGATGGTGTGCTCCTGAGGGATCACATGGAACTTGCTGCTCAGGGTTAATGTTTAGTGTTGCCAGCTCTACTTTGGTGATTTCTGCATGGGTAAAAATCACAGCAAAAAAATTCCCCAATGATCCTGCTCTGTCTGACTTAGGGAAAAAATGCCCCGAAGTTATTAGGTTGGGTGGTGGTGACAGTATTTGCGTCCTGGTTCACAAAATCTTAATGAAGTATTGATAATCTGTGATTTTGTTTTTATAGTGGTGGTTATAGGACAAGGTCAATGTTCTCAGAATCTTGACTTAATTCTCCAAAACTGTTGAGACAGTTACTTTAACTTGGGTTTGTTTGTTTTGGTTTTTTTTTTAGCAAGCTAACTTTTTACAAATTTAGGGACCTTCTAATCTGAGTCTGTAGCCAGCCAGGCTTGTGTTTCTGTGTTGCAGAATTGCCCAAGGGAGGATAGTAACAGAAACAGTCCTCATGAAACAGTTTCTAAAAACGTTCCCTGATAAGCTTTGTTTGGTTACTTCAGCTGTTTCATTTCTGCCCTTCTTGGCTGCCTGTTGAACAGTAATTAAGCCACTTCTGGTTTTTTTTATGACTGATTTCCTCAGCTTCCTGGAGGACTTGCACCTTCTGTGTTGTCTGAGTGGAACAGTGAAGGCTGCTTTAATAATACTTGGGAGTTGCCTGTAATGGTAGATGGGAGGTGAAAACTGGGAGGCAGCGGAAGCAGGGCTTATCCCAGACTGCAGATTTGATTCCTCTGGAGGAGGGTGTGGAGGAAAATCAGTGACTATAACCAAACCCTCCTCCTTTCTGTCATCTCTGAGCTAGCTATCCTCTCTTCTATTCCTAGCTTCTATGTAATTAGTGTCATTGTTATCTTTCTGGACAAGTGAGTCATTTTGATTTGTGTTAGATAAAATACTTGCTTAATTGTAACTAATGTGTAGCAGCAATTTGAGGGGACATATGGTGTTGGTCTGTTTTAAAGAGCAGACTCTGAAACAAAATATTGTTTTTCCATAGGATGAAACTTTTTTCACTAGTAAAGAACTTTTAAATTATTAATTCAAGACGGCTTTTTTCCATATTAATGGAAAAGTCTATTAAATTTTTTTCCTGATGTCTCTTCCTGTTAATGAAATATAAGGATTTTGTTAAAATAGATAGTGGGGTGACTCATAATGAGTATATGACTTTGATGTTAAACATCAGAAATGTACCTGTATACAAAAATTGATAGCAGTTTGCTCATGGGTTTCAGGCTTTTGAGTAAGATGTAACAGAGAGGAACAGCAATCTGATATAGGATTATGTACTTTATTTTTTCAAATATAAAACTACTTGCAACTGAGTAGCTTTATAGTTCTGCATAGCACCTCTATAAATCTTTAAAAACATCTATACCTAGTCTTGCTCATCTTAAAACTGCCCCAAAGGTAGACTACTGAATACTCAGGAATTTCTGACTGAAGTCTAAACCAAAACCAGTGCTATCCAGTGGCTGAAGTGGCGAGGTGCTCTGGACGTTCACAAAAATGGGCAGTATGCCTCTGTTGTCCAAATGTGTTTAGTAATGATCACAGTATATTCCTTATTTCTATGACTTTTAAGAAAGAGTCGTGGCTACCTGTCTGTATTTTCATATTTGTTTGGAGTGCTGATTTTTTTTTTAAATGTAAAATGTAACCCCTGTGATCCCGGAAAGAGCTTGAGAAATTTAGATTTCTTTTTCATGGTCTTTAAAACTAGTGTTGAATCATAAATGAGAGCAAGGCCAGGTTTAAGTTATGTTAGAAGCAGGTAATGAAGATCACTTGCTACTACTGCAGCTTTTGGCAGCAGATTTTTCAAAAGGGAAACCTAAACTATGTGTTGCTGAAGGCTGTGCTGGGCTGTATAAATGCAAGAAGCAAGATGCCTTCTTAAAGCAGCTTTTTAGTTACTATTATTTGCTGAAATGAAGGAAAGTACTGTTTTGTTAGAGACACAGATAAAAGTTCTTCATGTTTACAGTGCAACCTTAATCATGAAGGAGAAATTGCAGTCTGTAGCTGAAATAATACTGTTCTTCTAGAGTTATTCTCTAATTTTTTTCTAACTTTATTCCGTTAAGTGGTGAATAACAAAGATGCTTTTCAGATGATACTGGTATGATGATTTAACAGAAAGCAAATATTCTGTGTTACATTAATCTGTAAAGAGAGAGCTCTTCTCTCTGGCTGCTGTGCCACTTGCTTAGAAACACCTCACTCATACTTGTTTGGTTTTTGGTTTGGGTTTTTTTCATTGTTCTGAAATTCAATGACCATTTTTATGCCAGGAGTGCTTGCTTTTCTCTTTAGAAAAAACTTTTTACTAAGACAAAGTTTGGCTGAAACTCTTGTTCCAAAATTATTCCCTATATTGATGCTGGAAATAGAGTTTCTAGTCACAATATTTTAAATAAAATCACATTTTAGTCATTCTGTAACAATAAATAACTACTGTAAAAGTTGGCATTTGAGTTGCAGTATTTGCACAGAAATATGGAAAATAGGACAAAGAGAGCTGAGATCCACTAACTCTTCTTTATCAGCTGCACTTTTGTGTGCATGGAGCTAGGACAAGAAGAAAATCCTCTTTCCTTATCCTAAAAATAAAACACTAATTTGTAACTGTGCCTTTTCACCCATTTGCAGTGTTGGACTCAGGTGTGTCAAAGAGCAATACCTTAACTTAGTAACGGGAAGAACTGAGCCAGGTATTTGGCATCATACTTTCCAGAAATTATTCCATGTGGGATTATTCTTTTAACGTATTTTGCGCTGCCAGGGAGAACATTCTTTGATAAAGATACAGAACTTAAAGGGAAAGTGGGCCCATTATGTGCTACTTCAGCCTTTCACTGAGAATAAGCTGACATGGGTGGGTATGACATGGGTTTAACTGTCCATTCCAGCAAAAAGCAGTGAAGAGCTGCAGATATATTGTGGTAAAAAAATATGCTACTGATTTTTTTCA